GCTCTTCTGCGACGGGCACAGATTCGGGTAAGTTCAGGGACGTTCACCCCCCCCGCGGAGGATTCAGACTGTCCGTGCCCCGTTGTTTTTAACCACACACCCGAGGCTACAGCGAGCGCTGCTTGTCCCATTCCCCTTCTAGAGTCCCCTCACAACTGGCTCTGTCTGTGGACACCGTGAAACGCCCCGAGCTCCACCTGTGGGGACGGTTAAACACCCTAAGGGGCCCCGCCACCCACTCGCCCTGCAGCCGCCCGCGCTCTCTGTGGAAGCCAAGGCCGCTGCCGCCCCCTCAGCGCACGCGCGCGCTCTTCGGCTGCCCGAAAAAGAGCCTGTGCAATATCCGCCGGAAAACGCGCGAAAACAGCCCATCTACAACCCAACACGTCTTTGAGATCTTTAGTAGAATTTTAGCAGGCTCGCACGCCCTGTTTCCACTAGGGTGGCCGCTGCGCTCGCTTCTTTCTCGACTTTTTAATCAGGCATTTCTTCCGCCTCCTTTTTCTGCGTCCGAGGTCATAAAAGTCCCCGCCGGAGTGGGGGCACCGTGGCCTTCCCTCTCCACGCGCCGGGGAGGAAGGGAGGTCCCCAAGATGGCGATGCTGGCGGAGCGTGAGTGCCATTCCCCGCGGGGAGGGACCGCGCCGGCGGCGCTCGGGGTGTCGGGGGAAGAGCCCTTATCCAGGGGGGCGGCCTGGGCCCTACCCCACACCCTCCCCACCGCCCTCGCTGATGGGGCGGAGGCCGCGCTGTCCCTCCCCAGGGCGGCGTGTTGAACGCTGGCCCCCGGCTTCTCTCTCAGACGCCCTTAGGGCCGGCATTTCCTTTCAGCGCCTCGGTGCCGTCTCTGCGGCGGTGTGTGAGAGGGCGGATACCCTGCAGCCTTGGGGCCGGGGCTGTGCTGGGGTGCCGGCTGCGGCGTGGCAGCCGGGCAGGGCTCAGTGGAGCCGTGTGTATGTAGGCATTGGCCTTTTGATCGCAGCCAGGGTTAGCATTTGCGCTTACCTCGCCTCTTGTCTGTACAGGGAACTTCAGAGGTCAGCTAAATTCTGGCTTGGGGAAGGTGAGAGTGGGATGTCGGGGATTTTAGGCAGGTGCTTCAGAACAGGCAAGTAAATCCACTGAGCTCATGGGGAGAGCTCGGGGCAAGGCCATGTGGTTGTCTTCTGGTTTTTGTGTAAGGGTGTTGCTGAGTGAATAATATCTGAAGGTTTTATTATATGCAGCCTGATAACTTTGTTTAACCTGTTCCTGATATTGAAATCAAACCAAGCTTCACTCTTACCTCTGAGGTGATTGAGGAGTTAGGTTCCCCATATCCAAAAGAACTGATTAAAACATTGGATGAGTATCCTGACTGATAGCTCTTTCTCGGGTAAAGCTCTTCAGTTCAGGAAACAGAACTCTCTCGGGGCTGGCCAAAGTGGGAACTAAAAACTTGTGCTGCTTTCTCTTCCAAGTTACAGATGCGTTCCTGTAAAGTAGCCTTTTCTAGTAAATGTAAAACTGTATATAAGTAAAAAGACTAATTTTCTCAACTGTAGATTTTTATGTAACAGCACTAATATGCTTCTGTCTGAGTATTGTTAATGTCCTTAGGTGGTTTCGGTGAGCTTACTGGTGTCAGGACACCCTTAACATGAGAGCACAGAGTCTAATGGATTTGTTTGCTTGACTGCAGGAAAGATGGATTTCAGTATAATGACTAATTAGAAAATATGATTTCTAGTGGAAAATACAGGTGTGAACTGAGGAAAACAAAATTGCATTTACATAGGTAATTTTCTAATTGTTTTAGACGCAAACTTTGTTGGTACGTGTTTTTTCAGAATTTGTTAATTATTTAAATTGGACGCTGCAATTATCAAAAATCATAGAATCACAGAATGGTTCGGGTTGGAAGGGACCTTCAAAGGCCATCCAGCCCATCCCCCCTGCCATGGGCAGGGACATCTTCAACCAGATCAGGTTGCTCAGAGCCCCATCCAGTCTGGCCTTGAATGTTTCCAGGGATGGGGCATCTCCCAGCTCTCTGGGCAACCTGAGCCAATGTATTAATACAGCTGCTGTATGTAGGGAATTCTAAAATTAAATGCCTTAAAAAGTGAATCTAGTTGCTGAGAGCCGCCTTTGCAGGGGTGTATGCCTTTGTTCATCACCTTCAGCTGCAGTTATAATTGTGAAGTTATGTTACACACATGCATTTTTGTTTGCAATTCCGGGTCAAGTTCTGATACTCTTACTAGTATTCATTCTAAAAATGTGTGTGTGTGTGGAGGGATTATTAGTTTTACTACAGCTGTGAAAGCACATGCCTTTCAGGGACTTAAAGTAACTTCCCAGCGGTACCCAGTGACAAGACAAGAAGCAGTGAGTGTAAACTGAAACACAAGAAATTCCATGGTTTTTTTACTGCGTGGGTGGCCAAACACTGGGACAAATTGCTCAGGCAGGCTGTGGAGTATCAGTCTGTGGAGATACTCAAAACGAGACTGGATATGGTGCTGGACAATCTGCTTAAGCAGGGGGTTGAAGTAGATGATCTTGAGAAGTCCTTCCAACTTTTGTGGTGCTGTGAACTAAACTGAGAAAGGACAAACTCGATCATTCTATGCTTGTGTAGTGTTTTGTTGTGTAGAATTTTAAAAACTGTATCAATGGCAGAAATGCCCAAAAAGTTAGCTTTTATTTTTCATTTATTTTTAACTCTTTTTAACTTTCGATAAACTTTGATTAACTGTCTATCTTATTGGTGCTTATCAGAAAAAATATATATGTCAATAATGGGTTTCATAGCTTGGATTAAAAATAAAATCCATTTTGTGGGCAGTATATTTTTCCATTCGATGGAGAAATTTAACCTGTTTATTATTTTCCGTGTTATCACCGTATATGGGCACACAGCAGGGGTTTGGATGGGAACTGATGGGGAACTTCCAGAAATGATAGTTAAACACATGCTCCAGAATGCACCGAATTAGTTTTGCTAAAAGGGTTTATTGATTGATCTTTTTCAAATTGTAGGGTATCTGAGTGAACAAGTATCTAAAGAAATTACACTTTTCTCCACTGGATGGTGCTGCTTGCCCAGAGTTGCATTACTATCTCTAGCATGATTTTATGAGCAGCCCGGAAGATTGGTGTTAACTTCTGAGCTGAATTTTTTAGCTGGAAGATAGTATGTTGTTTCCTTTCACTCTCTTAAGGCATCAGTGAACAAACATTTCTGATAAATTGTTGACTAAACAGTCTTTTTTGTTGTTTGTTTGGAGAGGAGAGATCATTTTATGGTTGCTGTATGTGGCATGAAGTTGTTCCTGGCTTTCTTAAATAGTTCTCTAAAGATGTAAGTGAGTTTCTTTATTTTCCTGTGTCTAGCTTACCATACTTGAAAATAAGAGCGTGATAACCTGGCAGAAGTGTGAGGATTAATCTCATAACGGTAGTTATGAGGTTTGAAATACTTGGATTAAAAGTGCTGGAAAAGGGAAGGACTCTTAAAATTTAATGCTTGAGAAATCTCTGTATTAGGTGCCTTTGTGTTTTGTTACCAAGGTCCTCCTGGGAGTAAAACATCTTAGGGCTTCTCTACAGAGAGATATGCAGGAAAATTAATAGAAATTAACTTTTAAAGTGGATTAGTTGAACTACATCAAACAACTCAATTTGGACATTAATTTAAATTCACACATTCAGTTGACGTGGATTACCTCTACTGTGTAGACAAATCCTTAGACATATACGGTGGCTTTACAACTGTAAGAATTGCACTGAATTTAATTTCTTGGGATTTGCAAAGTCACCACCTGGCAAACTAGTTACAGAATATGGGCATACTTAAAATATTGTTATAGTGAGATTTAAATAAAGGCATTGAACAGTTAGGTTTTGGTGACTGAGTGAGGGGAAGTTGATGTTAATTGAGAGATTTTAAACACAGGGCAGATTAAGAAATATGATTGAAAAGGAGGGCTGCTGCTCGGCTGGGCAGCATAACGCCTAGTAAATTGCTTCTTTTTATCATCTTTCTTTTTATGTTGTTTATGTTGTTTGTCAGCTATGGACAAAAGCAACAGCCAAGGTGTTCCCTGTTTTTATAGGACTTAGCTTTTGCTGCCAGTTTGATATTTTTTTTAATTCTTTCCCCCCACAAACCACTGGAAACTTGGGGTCCTTAATGATCATTTGCATCTTGGATAAGGGAAGATGGCAAAGATGTTAATTGTCCCCAATTCCTAGGTCAGTGTTTCAAACACCGCAATAAATGAGTGAAGTGAGCCATGTCGCTAAAGGAGCCAGAGTTTTTGTTCTCAGTGGGGCGGCAGGGAACCCTAATTTGCTTGGGCACATTTAAAATCACAGTCCGCAGTGGCACTTAACCATGTTTTGTTAGCAGCACAGGCAGGGTTTGTAGTAGATGCTTCTCTGAAGGCTGCCTGTTGGAAATAAGTTGTTGTTTTCCTATAGAGAATTGAGCCAAGTGAGTGCTGTGTGGATTCCTCTCACAGTACTCCGTCATTTAACCTACCATAAAATCTTTTTTATGGACTGTTTAGGTTTTTATGAAATTCTTTATCAGGCTGTTACTTTTTATGGGGCTGCCACGCAGCACCTATTTTGAGCTTCAAAGCTTAGGAAGTATGTTAAAAAAAAGCCGCCATCATGCATTCTGACAGTATTAGTTCTTCTTTAAGAATGAAACAAAACCAGGCAAAAATTGAATCAAACATCCCTATAGTATTCTGTCCCTCTGGCCCAAATCCTAAGTGTTGCATTTTAGGGAAAGGTGACTTCCTGATTATGTTGAAAGCGTCTCAGTGGACTTGGCTTCTCACTGACTTTGTATGGCCTTGGGTTGGTCGGTCATTTTTGATCCACCATTTCCCATCGTGTTTAATGAAGTTTGTAATCTTCCTGTCTCCCATTCTTTGCTTGTCTTGTTTATTTAGGTTGTCTTCCTGTGTATGTTTAGGTGCACGCTTAAAGTGACTGGTTAACTGTGCTAGCTTTTCTTCCTTGATTTCAATGAAGCTATTCCTGATGATAGAGGCAAGCGCACGCATGTGGGCCTGGGGGACTGTAGTTTCTTTAGGAGCCTGCCTAGGACAAAGGAGCCTTGATTCTCGTTTGGATCTCTTAGCACCTGCAATAATTTTCGGTGACTTTTCAGTTTCTGAATAAACCGTTTTGTGGCAAATCCAAAAGCTGAAATCCCACTGGTTTGTGTTCTGTAATTCAGTTTCTCTCGTCCCTTATGTTTGATCTTTGACTTGGCTTTTGTTATGAAGGCAAATATTAAAACTTCTATGTTCTGGTTAAAGGGAAGACTGGCCAGTGGATATTATCCAGAAATTGGAAAGCCGGCACTGAAGTCTCATCCCCTGTAGATTTCATGTTGAAGCCAGATGTAAAACAAAGTTGGAATAAATAAGGAATATTGGCCCGTACACCTAAATGGTAATCCTTAAAGCCTTCCCTGAATTGCAGCCCATCCTTAGGGACTACAGCTTCCAATGCAATTTTACTTTGGCATTCTTCACATTGATAATTAACATTTTCACTGGCCTTTTTTTGCAATATAAGGTCTAGTAAAATTAACCCCCCAAAACGCATTTAGTCTGGTGTAAGTTCTGGGTTTTGTGCAATGAAGAGCTTTTCCTGAATTGATAAAATACTAAAAACACTGTAGAAATGTAAATAGAACCTGTTTGAATTTTTCCTTCCTGCTCTAGCCCGTAGAAGGCAGAAGTGGTCTGTGGATCCACGGAATAGCGCTTGGAGTAAAGATGAATCTAAATTTGGCCAGAAGATGCTGGAAAAGATGGGCTGGTCCAAAGGAAAGGTATGATCTAAAGGAGAGTTGTCTAGCTGAAGGGTGGCAGACTGCTGGGGGACTCTTGATCTCAGTGATTAAAACAGCCACATTCCTTCTGTTTGATTTAGTCTCTTAAGTGCACAGAGAATTTGAGCAGTGTTAGATTTTTACAGTTTGTTACAAAGGTACTCACTGGTGCCTGTCTTGCTTTCCAGTTTTTCTCCCCTCTCTTTGACAAGGTAATGTCCCCAAGTAGGAGCAGGAGTTGGCACATTAAATCAGGTGATGGTTGAAGGGTTTAAGTTGCCTTTGTGCCCTCAGTTCTCTCTCTGGCTTTTGGCACTGTTTAAAGCAACTCCAGGACCTGCTTTAATCTTTTACCTGTTTTTAAAGGGTATTTCTGATCTGTTCCTTGAATGGCCAAAATGCAGCGTTACGTGGGGTGTATTCCTTCCCAGCTCCAGCCTGTACCTGTGTGGGGTGAGGTGACTGCCTTCTGGTGCTAAGAATAATCTCTACGTCAGTGCAGAGAGCTGCAGACATCTCAGCTGCCTCTTAAAAACAGTTTAACTTCCAGAAAGGTGCCTCAGCAAAGCTGAGATTTGGGCCTGCATGTCAGCGTGTTAATGAAACGAATGCATGCAAACCCCGCACGATATTTATTTAATTCTTCTAGGTTTCCCCTCCCAGCCTGTTTTTTAAGAGGCATAAAATTAGGACCATTCTGAATTCTGTGAATGCATTAAAACTTAGAAAAATAAGCCTACTGTTGGATTTCTCAGTGTAGCCTACTGTTGCCTCAGTTGGCTTACGGTTAGCACGTATAAATCTGGCTTCTGACTGCCTCTAATTTCATGAACAAGCAGTGGTACCTGATTCAAAGGCTGCTGAAGTCAGGGAACCAGCATTGGTTTCACTAGGCTTTAGACCAGGCTGTTGAAGAGTATGGAGCTTGTCTTTTTATATAAATTTTATGTATAGGTGTTTTATGTGTCTAAGATTAAAATAGATATGTAAACCAGAATAGAAAAAATGCTGTTAAATGTTCTGATTGTATCTTAGGCAGTCAGCGTCTCTGGCCACAGATAACACCTTTGCCTTTGTGAACACTGTTTGTGTCAAGGTGTGAAAGGAAGGCCTCGTGTTGTTTTCTGTCAGTCACACCCCCACATCTTCTTCACAACAATAAGTTTCCTACTTGAGCTACCGGATCTTCCTTTACTACACTTATAGCTGTACGAGAAGGATTTATGTCTCCATTCCACTACAAACTCAGACGAATGGAACCTTAGCTTGATCAAATTAATGGGCAAAAGCCCATCTGTGCAGTGAAATTAAGCTGCTTACACTAGTCCTGTTATTAGTTGTATTGGAATTGGGTCATGGCAGGATGTGTAGCCAAGTGTCCTGCTTGCTTGCATACTTTTTGGTTAGCAGAAGTTTCAAGGTAAATTTTTCACCCCACTGGCCAAATAAACTCTACTGGATTTGTAATAGCAACAGCCTTTTTCAAATATGCCTCATTGCTTCAAATATTAGATATGCCCAGGATCTATCCACAGGGCTTCTCTCCACTGCTCCACCACATACATGTTTATTATAGCCATACACTTAGCTGATGATTTGTTGCTGGTGACAGATTAGGGAAAAAGTGAGTAGATACCAGGAATAAAGTTTTAAACCAAATGCTTTGTCTTTTTTTCCCCCCCCGATCATACAATTAAGAAAGATAGTGCTGGGCCTAAAGATTGCTTCCCAGATTTGAATGATTATGGCTTTTAGGATAGACAACGCCAACGTTTGTTTACTCAGATATTTTCGTCAAATTATGAGTGTGAATGAGGTGGAAGAAGTTCTTAATGGTCCTGCTATCTCCCTGCGCCACTTCCCTCCCATATAACTTCGTTCTGTGTTGCACGTTCTATGTGGCATCTGCCTTACAGCCGTCACGCAGCTGCCTTCCCAATGACAGAGGTATTTTTGGTGAGAGGCATATTCTTTTTATGTAGTGTCTTGTTTTAAAATTGTAAACACTTTAGACTTGCCTAGGAATGTCAGGTGGCTTCCTGATTAATCACCCAACTACTTAATGTTGTTGCTATTTTAGTGTTTATAATACTTTGCTGGCGGCTTAAGTAGTAAATTAAAAAAACTTAATATCTCATGCGTGCTAATGCCTGTGAATGAATTCAGTTACAGGCAAGGAAATAAATAGTAAGCTGTGGTTTCTTGCTGTATTTCATTGCCAACTGTCTTACAGTACGAAAGCTCTAGTTGCTTAGTCACTGCTGTAAAATCCTTACATTTTTACCCTTAAATCCTCATTAGGGTCTTGGGGCTCAGGAACAAGGAAATACAGAACATATCAAGGTTCAGGTGAAAAACAACTTGCTGGGGTTAGGAGCAACCATCAATTATGAGGTGAGCACTAGACCCAGGTAAGGAAATGGCTCCTATTTCAGCTAAGGCACAATCTTTGTAATGGGACGTTAGTGAAATCTGTTGTCACGTATGGTGGCAGCATGTACCTATGCGAATGTCTCTGCAGAAACTCTTGGTCTGGAGTTTAGTTCTGCTTTGTTGGGTGTTTTAGGAGTATAAGTACCTGCTTGGAAAGGTGACAGTGAATTCTCTGAGCAGGCTGTTCAGAGATTTTTTTGCTTCGAAGCAAATCACTGAAATAGCTCCTTTCTCCCCGTGTCTTCTGCCCAGCTTAGCTTTATGCCTTCTGTCCCTCTTTCTGATACAGCCACCTTTCTGACTGGAGTTCAGCTACAGAGGCAGAGCAAAATGTGATCCTAAAGGTGCTTGTCTCATAGTTAACATCTTAAGTAACTTTGTTGCTGGAAAAAGTCACACTAGTATTTCCTGCCTACTTCTCAAAACATCTTGCGCAGACAGGGGACACGCAGAGCCGACAACAGCTCAGTATTGTTTAGGGACTTACAAACACAACCCTTATCATTTCTGCGCTTTGGAGTGACTGTTGTGAGCTTAGTTAGCATTGCCACCTGTGGGGCTTCTGAGGGTCCCTTCCACCAACAAAGACCGAGTATGTACAATTAAGTTACTTCTTAGAGTGCAGTCTTAATATCTGTTTCAGCAAAACTTCTGTTAGTTCTGAAAACTTTTGCCTTGTATTCACGTGGGTGATATTTACAGGACAACTGGATTGCTCATCAGGATGACTTCAACAAGCTTCTGGCTGAACTGAATGATTGCCACGGACAGGGTGAAACAGGTAGGTTCATGCTTTTCTCAATCAGATGCTGGAAGCTTAGCAGAGTTTCCATTCTTTGTCTTAAAAGGCTAGCTGAGGCCCGGTCCTTTGGGCTGCTAATAGTCTCCTTGCTGAGCTTGACAACTCCTCCTTCTCCCCCAAAATCAGCGGGAGCTGAAGGACGTGTTGCCATCCATGGCCATGCTCAAGTTTGCCTGGACGTGTAGATCTCAGTGGATTGGTTTTGCTCTCAGTCAGGCCTCTGTTAAAGGCTTTTTGTTGGGGAAAGCAAACATAAAATTTTGAACTTGTTTATTTTATCCAGGACCACAACATGCGGGACCTTTTGCTGGGATGTACTATAGCAGCGCTTGTTTCTTTATAAAGCAACCAGAGCCAGTATGAAGGCTCACAACACAATCACTTATCATTGCAATGCGTTTGCCTTCCTTTTACTAATGAACGGTCACACCTGGCTTCCATGCGCTGCTGGTTTCTTAAATACCTACTTTTCTTGTCCTCAGAGAGCTGCTGCTTAGCTTTTGACTCAGAGTTATGCATCTCTCTTTTGAGTGTGGTATAATGTGATTTTTGTAGCCCTGATGTAGAGCACACAAGTGGGGAAACTACACAGCTTTACCCAAAGGGCTGTTTATAGTCTTTTAATTTTTAAAAGCTTTGCACAGTTTGACCTTGGTTTGTAAAAATGAAGTTATGCAAAACTGGTGGGTGTGAGCTTACAGAAAGAATTGTACACATCAATTGGTTTGTCATCTCTGCTTTAGTTAGACTCAAGTTTAAACTCTGATCATATATCTAAACAACTCTCCGTGGAGTGTTGTAAAACCAAGGGCTTCTGTTTGGACACAGCGGTCTGTCCACATGCTGCTAGTGGCAGAATTGCGTGAATTCGGCAACTGTTCGTTCATTCGTTCATTCTTAACATTTGAGCACAGAAGGTTTTCTAGGAGAGGAAAGGTAGAAAGAGGAAGAAGGTCAGTTAGCAAGAAGGATCAAATTTGGTTTCTAATCTTAGAGAACTAGGATTAAAATTCTGAACGTGATGCAGTTGTTTTAATTCCTGTGTAAGTTATCCTTGTGCATTCGAACCCTCTAATCGTAGTCTGAGGCCACACAGTGCTAGATGCTGTAGTTAAAGTCCTCAAAAGGTAGAATAGCATATCACAGGGAAATTCCAAAAGTTCCTTTCTACCTTTATAACTACATCCTACCCAAGTTCCAACTTGAGCCATGGGAAGATCGGTTAGGTGTAACTGGTGGGAAACCTGCAAGCTGATGAGCAGAGAGCTGAAATGACTTGCCCAAGGACACAATGAGTCAGCACAGAGGCAGGTTCATTGAGCAAGGCTCTCTTGTTCCTAAATCTGTGCAGTATTCCCTGGGTCATCCGTACTTATGCAAAGTGGGCCCTGAAAACCATATTTCTCCCTGTTTTACTCAGTTATTTTTCCTTGATCTTGTTAGGAGCTGGGACAAGAGTCTTCAATCACTGAGGACAAATCTGGGCGCACGTCGAAAATTCCCAGTCAGAATCACGTTTGGTGATTTGCAGACTGCAAGCATTGCTCTGAAACTTGTTTTTTTGGCAATTGTTTAAGCTGGCAAAACTCATTCAGATAACTCTGCCTGCAGCTGTGCTACAGGACCAAATGTTACATTATTGGCCATCATCCAATTTCAAATTGCATTAAAAGTCAGCTGAAAAACTTCATTGTTCTTAAATAACTGGTGTAGTTGCCAGAGTTGGGATTGCAATTAGAGATCGGGAAGGAAGGGTCCCGTGGCGGTTAGTATGCCAACATTCAAATACTCTTGATGTACACAGTTTTAGCTTTCTTTTCTTTTTTTTTTTTTTTTTTTTTTTTTCCTTTTTCTTCCCCTGGTGAGGTTTTTTGTTTGCTGACACAGCACAAATCAGACTGGCTGGAAAGCTGGCCTTTTCTTTTTTTTTACATTTTTTTTTTTTTTTTTTTTTTTTTTTTTTTTTTTTTTTTTCCTATCTGATCACCTAGTGAGGAGTTTTGATTCCTGGCTCTTTTGCTGGGATACTGAGTGATGACGACTGTGTCCGTTTCCCATTTGTAAAATGAGGCGACAACATGCTGGCCGTGTCTGTGAGGTGCTTTGGAATATTCATCTGTATCAGATTTGCTACAGAAATGACATGTGGCTTTATTGCCGTGACTAAATTGCTTTAAAAAGCACACTAATGCTCCTGCAGTGCTTGCTCAGTTTGTCAGAGGATTTAGCAGTCACTAGAAGACACAGGGAGGTACCTACCTGTCCATTGCAAGCGCCAGCATGTTTCAGTAGTGAAATTCCTCCTTGAAGGCACAAGGCGGTGCTGCTGCCCCTTTCACTGTAAGAATAAAGTGGAGGAGGAAGCCCTGTGGAAATCCTTTGCTGTGTAATGTTTCCTTCGGTACAAGTGGATCTGAGAGCAGACTCAAAGTGCCTCATCTCTGGTCAGGATATTTTAGTTGTGATGCTTACTTTCCCCACAGACCCTTTTTATTGAGGATTTTCAAGTTGACTCTGTCTAAAACTGGGTTTGCTAGTCCGTCCTCTTCTCATTAGGGCCTAGTGTGTAAATGGAAGAGTAGATCTCAGACTTCTTTCTGGTAGTCCGCTCTCCCACTGCAGGCTGCAGATTTCATTTTTAGGTCAATGACTCTATTATCAGGTGGCACTACCTGTCAAGCAGTGAAGGGCTGTAATTCCAATGTCAGAAAAGCTTGGTCTGCAGAGCTTTTGGGGTGGGATCATATGAAAAAGGTGACTCAACTTAGCCCTCAGGGTATGGGTTGATTTCCCTACCCATCCCAGTTGCCACTGGGAGACAAAAATCATCTCACCAGAGTAGCCTTTTCTAGAGTTACAGAGCAGAGAATCCTGTGGTGCCTATATCTTTCCAGGACAGGACCAATAAAGTAGTTATTAAGCAGATAGCAGGTTACCTCCTTCTAAGAATTTCTTTTGAATTAACAGGCTCTGTGGATGCAGAGTATGTCTGTACCAGTAAAATAACCCTCTGCAGCACAGGAACTTGCTATCTCTACTGTTAAATAGTTAGACTAATCCTTCACATGGTTTTGACCTGTGCAAGCTAACATTCTCACAAACAGCTCCTGAGTGAATTTGGGACTTAGCCAACCCCAGAGACCATTCCCAGTGGACGGTTTAGATGCAGCCCCTCTTCTGGAAGCTGGGAAAATTAAATAATATGTATGTGGCAATTTGTTCTAGCTGGCCTCAGGGACAGAAAAGCTCTGCCACCGTTTAATTTCCTTACACAGATGTATCAGACTGTGTCCAGATAGAGGCACTTCGTGTAGTGTTAGAAGTGGAAAGCCTGTCTGTGTGATATTTTTTTTTCCCCCTTTTACTTTCTACCCAGTCATATTCAGTATTTTATTTTGTACTATTTCTTACATCTTTCTCAGACTCTGGCACTGGAGATATTTTCTAGCAAACAGCACAATAAACCCTGACCTATTATTCTTTTCTTACCGTAGAAATAGTGTTAAATTAGACTTTGCCTTTGACCTGGAGTACCTGTATCTGCCTTTTCAAATTACATTAGATTGGAAATGGGAAGGGAAGGGGATGTGGCAAAAAAAATCAAGCAGTAACATGTCTCGGACAAAACTTACCGTGCTTCCTTCAGTAATACATGGTGATATGTTGTTGAGACTTGGTTTTGAGAGAGAAAGTTAAATACACTGATGTTTGAATTTGGTGGTTGAGTGCCTCTAATAGGGTTGGAACCTGTTTGTTTTTTTGATTTTTTTGTTTGTTTTTTGTTTTTTTTAAGAGTCCTCAGCGAATAACCAGAAGAAGACATTCAGTCTCGAAGAAAAATCCAGATCTTCCAAGAAACGTGTCCATTATATGAAGTTTGCAAAAGGTAAGAGGAATTTTGTTGTTTCGTAAGCTCTAGCCAAGATTAGAAAAAAGCCTGTGTCAAGGTGATCTGTTGCCTTCTGGGGTCTAAATTTGGCAAGTAAAATCTTGGTTTAGAAATACCCCCTGCAGCAAGTTACTTAAAGCTATAATACGCTCTTCATTGGACAATTTGGTATGGCTTTAGGCTGGTATTGTTGAATAAAATAATTTCTGTCTGAAGGAACCATCAGCCGAATAAAGGAGCAGTGAATATTCTGAGTGATCTGTGCGTGGGCAGGGGATGGGAGGGGGAAGCAAAGGTGATAACGGAGTTACTTGAGCATCTGCACCGCACTATCCTCTGCAATCTCCAATAACCCCTGCTAAGAGATCATGTGGATAAGATCAGTGATCAGATTAAACTTGAATGCAGGAAGAGGAAAGCCCTCTTGCATCTATCAGATGCTTTATAGGATAAATTAGGACAGTGGGTGGTGGCCACAAAAACTATATCAAGAACTCATGGAGTTTAGTAATTTCTCTCTTTCTTAGAGCGATGGCATTATTTCAGCCATCCCTGCTTTTGGCTCTCGACCATTGTTTGATCCCTTGCTGTTCAGATTTCTCTGTTGGTTGGGTTCCCCTTTCACACACGCGTGTGCACGTGGTGTGTGTATATATGTGTTTCAGCGTATGGATAGGATCAGTTTCCACAAGTGGCTAATTTATTGTACTTAAAGCTCTGTGTAATGTTTTCTGATAACAAATGCCTCTGCTAAAACAGAAGTAATTGATGTCTGAATAGAGGCCAAATTCTGGTATTGGGGTTTGGGTTTTTGACTAAATAATTCAGCCTAGAAGTCAAACATGTTAATGTGACCCTGCCACTTTATGACATTAAACAATTAAATTGATTCAGGGCTTGCCAGTACAGAGGCTGTGGCCTGTTTGAGGTAGTAGCAAAGAGGATTTATTTTGATTTGGATTTAACCTTTTACTAAATATAGAGAAAAAAACAAATGTCTTTTGAGCATGTAAAATATGGAGCAAGGCTTTCATATGAACAATGTCCCTTATTTGTTTGGCCACGGTGCTTCTGTAAGGTAGGCCCCTGTTTGATTGTACCCTCTGTGGTCTAAAACAGGGAAATTGTCCTTTTTCAGGG